TGAACCAATCCAAAAATGATCCTTCCGGTCGTACGGTATTTTGTCTCTTCATGCAGACCTTCAATCATCCGTGAGATTTCATAGTGCCAAACGACACACCACGTTATTCGCGATGAACTGAGTCGAAAGCTGCACGATATACGAGAGTCGCCTCGTACTGAAAGCTCCTGCAATGGTTGGTTATTCTTTTCAGTACAAGAACATTGTCTGTGCACCAATGCCCGCTCCGGAAGCCTCTTCAATTTTTCGCAGCGGATCACCTATGGCCTCCTTCAACCTTCCAAGGATAATCCGCGCAAACGAATTTTTCAGCATAGGCAGATGCGTAGTTCCGCAATCGACTTTGCTATTGGAGCTACTTCCATATTTGAAAGTTTCGAATTCAGCCGATTCCCAGTTTTTGGGAGTCACTGAATTTAGAAGTCAAATGCTTCTGAAAACCATGTGAATCCGGCTGAGGTTTTGCATCACATCGATAACGTCGCACCAATTTCGTCATGCTAGCAGGACTTCGTGTTTCAACAGAGACGCATCGTCTTTGACACATTTTTCATTGATAACTAGCGTACTTTACAGCCAACTCTTGTCACTTACTCTCTTCCGCTTGGAGCAGCACCAGTGTAGTCAAACAGCTGTCTGTGATCGGCCCATCATTTCCAATCATGATTAGGGGTTCATAGCCGCTGATTCGGCTTTCTATGTAACAAGCCGGTAGCATTTTTTTCTTTGCCACTTTTGGAAATCATATTCATCTGACTGTACACAAACTCCCTCGCCATTTACCGTAGCCTTTGCCAACTTCAGCACCTCAGTATTTAACCATCGTTGGCTATGCTTGAGGTAGTTCTGCTTTCCCACTTTCACAAAAGCGACAAGCTTCTACTCATTTCACCAGGGTCATGTAAAAACACCATGTTCCCAGCGTTTCTTCCCTGGCGAACATTTACGTTTCTGCCATTAGCCAAACCTGTTTCCTCTTCTGGCCATTTGAGACAACAGCCTTGATAATGACGCACTAATGATACCTTCTTCAAGGCGGTTATAGACAAACTACGTGTCTTCGCAGATGACGATGCTGATTCCCATCTGGAACGCCTCGCGAGACACAGTATCCTTCAACTTTCAACTGTCAATGCAGGCGCTCCCTACTTTGGCAGTGCTCTTCCTGTTGTGGATAGAAGGGGGAGCTTCGCGACCAAACATGATAGATCTGTTATACAAGACCTCAGATACCTCACACCTGTTGACCTCAGATAACAATGAAAAATGACAAGTTTGATGCAGAACGCCACTGGCTACTCTAATCCGCCAGTCGATGTCTTCCTCAAATTTTCCATTACTCGTGAATAAGACTCCAAAGTAGTTGAACTTCTCCATCTGCTCCACTGCTTCTTCGTCAATCTTTACTTCTTCAAACAACGAGCAGGAGAACGAGAAAGTAGCGGCTTTTCGATTTCGATTCATGCCGGTCACGTCGCACTCGGATGTGAACCTTTCTAGGGAGCACTGTAGATCAGTTTTAAAGATGCCAATAAACTTTTACAGAATTAGATTCAGCAATTGTAGTTTGCTTACTGTTCAGCACCTAATTATTAAATTGTAAGAAATAAGAATTTTATTTAGTTTACATCATAGCAATTGCTGTAGATTTATTCCAGTAATAAAATACAGCGCTGTTTATTGGCAAGGCTCAAAAACTGCACTACTAAAGAAACCGCACAAAATCTGAACTGAGGCAGAACAGCAGTCCCGGACAGTGTACAACAGTTTATCATCAAGCGAACAGCCAACTTGACCATACTCGTTCCAGCCACAACCAAACACATGGCTTTCTACAAATAAGTTTTCATATTAGTAAAGTGAAGAAACTTAAACGTAATCTTCAACATTGGATTATCATAAATTGAGAAACTGCGTCATTTTAATTTTGAAATGGAATAACTAGCTTGAACAAGACTCGAACAAGAAAGGATCACTGGGTCAGCTGTCAATTTTAGATTACAAACATATCTACTAGATAAAATCAGCATAAAACATGGTTGTATAAAACTAATTACTGATTCTCATATCGTCAGAAATTCTCTTGTTGTAGAGGCAAACTTTTCATAATTGTTCACCAGTTTTACCTTTAACGATAATCACCAGTCAACATCGCTGATAGACGCTCGCAGCAGCAAAGTGAAGATACTAGTGTTTACAAAGAGGTAACTACGGCTGGCAGTCCGGTTAGACACTCTCCTTTTCTAGTCGACTTCATGTTGTCAACCACATACTCTCATTTGGCTATCGTCTCAGCTTGTTTTTCTTAGCTGACACTTTGCAAGTGAAGCCGTTAAAATCTATATATGATGGATTATTGCATTTTTAACTTCTGCAGCTGTTAGCAGCGGTTCCTGCATATCAGTTAGTCAGTCAATCATTCTTCTGACTTCGTCATTTCTTTTACGGAGTACACGGAATCCACAAAACGAGCATACACATTATGTCAATTTCAATGACATTGTCAGTTCAATGTAGTATGAAAAATTATCAGTCAATGAATCAAAATTTATTACTTTATTATGTGAAACCCAGAGATCGAGATTTTGGTGCTGTTTGGCAATAGGAATAAGTTATTTTTCAAATACATACAGTTCAGGTTTAAAATATATTTCGAATTAAATAATAGCCAGGCACTGAATGACTTTGGAGGAGAGGTTCACACAGCTGAACAACAAGAATACTAGTCACGACGGTTGCGGGTACCATTCAATCATCAAGACACTTAGATTCAAAACTTCTATATCTTTAGAACGACGGGTATTGTGTGGAGCTCATTATGATGTCACTGTGTTCATACAGTCATGACAACCGAATAAGAACTGTATACAGATGGAGGATTATCCTCAGTGTTGTCAATGATTATGGCAAATTCGTTGATTCTTATCACTGCAGACCGAAAGATTGACAAAACAGTCAAATGTCAGCCATAATACAAGTAGAAATAACTTGAATTGCCAAATTTCAGTCTTCTACGGATATAACAATGGTAATGAATGTCAGTTCATCGCATGATAATCTACTACCAATATTTCAGTTACATCTCACCTTGCTCAGGTTTTCATCAAAGCAAAATGGTTGGTATTCAAACAGTTCATGCAATCTTTGCAGCACTTGGTCCGTTTCGCACCTTAAGGCGAGTAACTTTTTCACTTTATTGTTTTAAAGCAGTTCACCTACAGAATATGTTCTTTTCGACCGTTACTTTTGATGCGCAAACGAAAGATTAATATTTACGTTAAGCCGCAGTTCACAAACGTTTTGACGATTAACGCTCACGCATTCTTAGAATTCGAACGCATTTCATGTACGCAGCATATTAAACGATCCAGGAATTCCTTTTTACTGGTGCTTGACTTAGTAAAGCGTATGGTGTGTTTCGTACTATGATGCATCCTTTGAATTTACCGCTCTCGCGAATTAGCAATCATTCATCTTCTGTAATTTAACAGGTGGTTGTTGTTCTCTAAATGAACGACATTCCCTGTTTCTCTATATAAAATTTGCCGCGATTACAGAGCAGTTCACAAATCCAGCCGAAAATGTCTTTTCAGTTATACAATATAACATTAAGTTTCCTACAACTTTACTTTTATATAATTACTATTGCATTAACGTTACATTTGGTATTTCATGTTCTTTGTAACTTTACAGCCTAATTTTTATAGAACGGGATAACTGAATGAGGATTGTTTTTAACAACATTGCTATTGTAATAATTTAATATAAATTCATTATTATCAGGTTTACGTTATAATCGAATTCAATGGAGAAGTAACCATTGACATACTGAATTAATTTCTTTTTTTGTTGAATTATTTTTTATTAATTGTTTAATGCAGAACTTACAGTTCTTTCTAGTAACGTTGTATAATAAAATGTTTACGCTATTTTTCAGCATTGCTGCCAACACACGAAGAACTATTCAGTAACCAAATAAGCTTAGTCTTCAGCAGATCATGAAGCGGACATTATGCGCTGAGGGT